GTGGTTCAGTAACCTACAAGAAACACACACACACACACACACACTTGTGCACAAACCCATTTCCTGTCTTTCTCTTCCTTGTGAGGAAATTGCCCCTGATGTTATCAGCAACCCTAACCTTCCTCCAGCTACCCTGGCACACCCAGTAATTACTTGCAAGCTTCCATCTTTGTGTGCCAACAACATTACTGGGTTTTCTCCCACAGACCAGGAATTTCCTGCTGGTTCTGATGGAACACAGCAGGTACTAGGAAAATTTGTTTACTGGGTGTCTCTGGGGGGGAAGAAAGAGAGAGGAGACAAAAATAGCTCTGGGAAGCTCCTGACCTGCTGCAACTCCTGTGTTTTCTTGAAGCTGAGTGAATCAGGAGGGGAGTGAGAGAAGACAGGTTTTGCATTGTCAGAACAAGTCACTGCCAAAAATAGAATTTAGCATACTGTATTTTTGTCAAAATTCAGTCAATGATGATGTGTTTGGGAGTATATTTTAACAAATCAAGAATTCCTGATGCTAGCACTGCTGGAGCATTGAGAGACTGCACAATTTATGAGACTATCTTTGAATAGGTTTACCTCCTTGAACATCCAGACATAACTTTCATATTGACTTCAGTCAGTAACTTTACCTAATCTTGCATTTCCAAATTGAGACTAAAAACTCAATTTTTTTATTTCATGTCTGACTTTCTTCCTTTGTAATCTCAACAAAAATAGACTTCTGAATATATTACAAGCAAAATACTGTATTTTTAATACCAACATTTCAATTTTTCATGTGTTTTTAGTCAAATTTCTGCATGAAATTCACATGACAGACTGACACTGACAGAACACAACATATTACAATGTTTCCATTGATAGTGACCTCAATTCATGCTGCCAAGGTGGTGTAACTTGCATCATTTCCACTAATTTAAAACTTAAAATTGTCTTTTTTATCAGATGTAACTACAGTATTTATTTGTCTTTGGTAATAATGTTCATATCCAAAAACCAAAATAATGACAGGGGAATTATCCAAATAGAGTACTCAATTGTTTGAGATAGCAATGAAATTTGTGTTAACTTAGCAACAAGTATAAATAGCACATCCTGAGTCTTTTGTAATTTAAACTTCAAAATTCCATGACAGGTTTCAAAATGAATTCGCCTTTACCAGATGCATTAAATGGATCATGAAATCTATAAATTAAACTCTGTGACCAATAAAAGATTTCCAAAACAATCACAACTACAGAAAACCAGCTGTTTTCAGCTTTTAAAAAATATACTTAGACAGCCATAGAAAATGCATGAAATTTTTGAAACTCATTAATACCTGTAACTTTGAATTGAATTTCAATTTCAATCAAAACCTTGAAGGGATTTTGAATGTGGAAATCTTGATTGAACCTTGTGAATGCTGAAAAGCGGCAAACAAAATGTTCTGTTCTTTCATTCATTCAATTGAATTTTAACTTTGATGTAACTTTAAATTTATATACGTTTTCCATGTGACAAAAAGTATTCATTTGTTTTTGGGAATAATGTTTATATCAAAAACCAGAATAAAGACAGGGGAATTATCCAAATATTTCACTCAATTGTTTGAGTTACCAATGAAATTTGTTTTACCTTAGCAACAAGTATAAATTACAAATCCTAAGTTTTTTTTTATAATTCTCTCTTATTAATTCCATGACAGGGTTCAAAATTCCATGACTGAAATCCATAAATTAAACTCTGTGGCCAAGAAAAGATTTCCAAACCAATAACAAATACAGAAAACCCTTTGTTTTCAGCTTTTAAAATACATGCAAACAGCCATAAAAAAAGATGCAGGAACACTTTTTAAACCCATTATTTCAGTAGTCAGTACATAGTAAATGTTTTCTCTGTCTAAAATCCCCACAACTGAAGTCACTCAAGCACCATTCTTCTCTGTCCCCTCACGTACTCACATCCTGGCAGCATCAGGACCCAATTTCCCGGGGTATAACCAAATAAAAATACCCAAACAAAAAGGAAAAAAGGCACCCCTAGGCAAGGGAATGAAAAATTCAACCTCATTTCAGCAGCTGATGGGGCGGAAAGGGGAACCCAAAAAATAAATAAAAAGAAGTGGGTGTATATTTTTCCATTCCCCCTTATCTCGCCTCTCTTACTTCCACCTCACACAGAAACAAACGCATACATATTCACCACACAGAAGAAAAAACGAATAAATGAACAAGAACAGAACCCATGTAAAAAAAAAATCGAATACCATTCCACGCAGTAGAAAACGTAACACAATCCAGGCCCCAGGAAACTCAATATACACATTTCCTTCTCGCGTTTCAGGAAGAAAAGAAAAATATAAATCAACTGAAAAAATATATCTATATACAAAAGTTATTTTCCTTCAGCCCCCTTTGTTTATTACTTGGGGATTCGTGTGTGCTGCTGAATAAATACAAGCCAGGGTGGAAATCACTGACGAAGAATAGGTATATGATGTTGATTTTGCACCAGCAGCAGAAAGAATTGCGAAAATCAATTCCCCGTTTTCACATTGGCACACACAAGTGCAATAATAAAACATTGACGCTCTGGTATAACGGGTTGTCGACATGGAAAATAAACACACCCACACACACAAATAAATGAGCATTTATATACTGTATGATAGTTTAAGCATGTGCAGAAGGATGAAAAATTGGCGCGCTAATTTTTTATTTTCATTTTTTTTGAAACACGCGACTGCCATTGAAGAAAGCCAGCGACCAACTGAGGATTTTATTTTGCACATTAGGCAGCTGTGCTTCACAAGAGGCCCGCGCTGGAGTTGTACACGATCATGGCGGGCCAAAACCTTGAACCAACTTTTCTGTCTCTCCTTGAATAACATTTCCTGCAAAAATAAATATGAATATTTATAAAAATGCATGCGCCATTCAAGGTTTAAAATTAGAGTTGAAATTCAGGTTTCGCAAGAGGATAGGAATACAGTGAGACCCCTGAGAAATTTGGTGCAGCAAGATGTGTTCTGATGTGGGAATGTCCCTAAGTTGAGTCTCATTTTCCCTCAAGACTTCAATGCTAATTTATTTAATTTGCTTCCCTTTGTGTCAAAAATTAAAATAAGTCGTCAAAAAATTTAATAAAAAATGTTTCTTCAAGTTGCAGAAAAGAACTATGTGGAACAAAACACATAGAATCTGATCTTTGGGTATCAAAAAGCAGAGGAAAAGCATAAGTCTTGCTAGAGTATGCACAGATTATATAAAAAATATTCACAAACTAAGCTTTCTTTTGCTTATAAATTAGAGTGAATTCATCATGAATTTTTTTCAAGTTTGTGAATATAAATAGTTTTATTTCTTTAAAAGATATCAGAATTTCAATGAAAATGTTTTTATTTTTCTAGAAAATTCCAGAAAAGTGTCCCTAACTCAAGCCAAAGTCAAAAAGTTGGGCCTATTTTTTTGTTTTCAAGTGTCCTCAAGTCAAATTTGAAAAATATGTTGTGATTTATTACCTGTTTCTTTGGTGCATCTGAATATGTAAGTGTGCAGTATAAAAAGGAACCATTCGCATGAACTAGGAGGAAGTTTGGAAACAAATAACTGCCACAAAAGTGTGGGATGTAAGCTTTAAAATTTTGAAAAATGTGAATTTTAAAATTTATTTAAAAATATTCTGACAACAGATCCTTGGGAAAAACAAGTAAATTTGTTTCTTCAATCTGAAAATATCGTGAAAATGTAATGAATAGATGGGGGAATTAAAAAACCAAATGAACTTTCTTTCTGTGTTCCAAAACTCTTTGAAATTCCCTAAAATAATGTCTTCTTTTCCCAGATCCGAAGACCTTCCAAAGTTTGCAAGACTTTCACACTCTCCTGCTCCTTTCTTTTCGAATTAATCATAGATATTCGTCAATAAATCTGTGAAATTGGCACGTTTTTTTTTCAAACATAAGCAGCGCATCTTTTCGCAGCCCACGTTTTGTACAAGTGCGCCCTGAAGACCAACGGTTCGCACCAGTAAGCAAGTTCCCCTCCTTCTCACAAGAGGGAACCACTCTCGCCTGATTTATTCATACATCCCACGCAGCGTTACCATCCGCCCGCAAACCTGTCCTACTCCTTCCAATCATCTCCTCAATAACTGACAGCTTCAAAAAATGGAAACGTTGCTGAAAATAAATGTAAAAATCTTTAAAATAAATCAGCGTTTCCAGCGCAAGAAAAATAAATAAAGTATTATGATCTTCTAAAATCTGGATTTCGCAGTTGGCAGGACATGGACTAATTCCTGGCCTCACCCGCAGGCTGGGTCATACTCAGGGAGGCGCTAATGAGCCCACATCCATGTCTGTCAAGTGCTCCTCAAATATGCATGGAACCTGGTTGGAGGTCTAAACAAGGTCAACCCCTGAGGAGCAGACACAGGGGGGTTCATCATCAACACCAGGCCCTTTCATCAGGCAATCAATGTCCCACATGAATGAGATTCTGTTTGTTTCCTTCTGTGGAAGAGAGAGAGAGATAAATCAGAGAAAGGAAATACAAGTGAACCTTGATAAGTTGAACCTCCCTAAGTCAAATTTGTTTCAAGTCCCTGTCAAAATTCCCTTCAAATCAATGCATTAAAAAACTCCATAATTTCAAGCCTTTTTCTCTAAAACCTCTCTGTAAATTTTTAGAGGCTTTTTGGTTAATATTTCCTTGAAATATGAAAGAAAAAATTATTAAAATGAATAATTTGATGCATTTTGAAAGGAAATGAAAGACAAATATAGCAAACAAACCAAAGCCTCCAAGTTCAGCAACGTGTAAACTCTTTGAGGAGCAAGTGTATGCCCAGAATATTGTCATTTATGATTTCCCACACTTTTTTCACTTCTCCTCACAGCAAAAGTGTTATTTCCTCAACTGGAAAGCTCAACAAATTAAAACCTCACTAATTCAAATTGTTTTCCTGGTCCCTAGAAATTTGACTTGAAGGGGTTCAACTGCAATGAAGACACCATCCAGTGCTTTTCAAATGTATCTTTATATGTGTAACATGCATTGCCCGGTTTCCAATAGAGACAGGAAGGAGAATAAATGTCAAGGGCATGATCATGGGTTGCATCCAGGGAGTTCACTGAGCCAGACACAGCCTTTGGTGTCTGGCTTGAACCCTGTCCCCTGGGCACAGGAGGCCTCATCACAGTGCCAATCTCCTGGTGTGCCCCAGCACTTGATGAATTTGGTACAGGAGAAAGGGTGAACATTGTCACCCACTTCCTGGCAGTAGGAGCAAATGTTGTCTGGACTGCCAGTCACTGGCTTTTGTGCAGTGGTGGTGGTAGTCCTGGCAGTTGGTGAGGTGGACACATGAGGGTTCCCTGTGGTAGTGGTGGTGGAACTCTGCAGATGAAAAATGGTGAATAAAAATATTGGTGGTACCACACAATTCAACTTCCTGCAATTTTTGCATAATTTGGCGGTGAAATTTGCTGGGAGGTCAACTTTTAATTAGACCTATCCCCTGATATTCTTAAACCTGCTTCAGCCAATTTTCTAGCGTTCTTTAATTTTACACCATTTCTCAAAATTTGACCTTTCTTGCAATGTGACCCTAGTCCAGCAAAATATTAGGCTCAAATTGCAGAAGCATTAACATTTCAAATCCAAGGCACAAATTTTGTCTGTACCTGAGCAGAAGTGGATCCACCAATGCATCCAAGTGCCTCTGGAGGCTTGCAAGTCACAGCAGTAACATCAAAAACAGTGCCATCATGGCAGGTGCTGGTAGTGACCTTGGGGTGATGAGGAGAAAAGGGCAAAATTTCACAACAGCCAAACACAAGACATTTTCCTTTTCTTCAGGTCAGAAGAAAATGATTAAATACTCACATCCCATTGGAGTCCATTGGCCTGACACCAGTAGTAAGTGGCACTACAAGCAGGGGCATTCCATCCATTGTGATCACAGCGCTCATCTGGCTCTGGAGTTGGGCGTCCAGTGTACTGAGCACATAAGAAGGAGGGCGGTTATTGAGCTATTGATCCTGCTAATGCAATCAAGCCTTGACTTACAATGGGTGGAATGGTGACAGAAGGGTCAGGGGTTGGCACTCCTCCAAATACCCCAGCTGCTATTGTCTTCAGCAGGGGATTCTTGTGGTCAGCAAAGTTTCCTAGTCTGCAATTGCCTGTGAAGTCATCTGTCTCTACACTCCAAACCATGGCTCCCCTGAGGCCCAAAGAGTTGAGGTAGTCCACCTATTCATTATCGTTTTCACCAAACAGAACATATCAATGGCATTATCCTCTTTCAAGAAATACAGGCTTCATTAGGGGTAATTCTTAAAACTTCAAGAAATGATACTTGGTAAGCATTCATACTCCCATAAAATCAAGTCCTCTTTCATGTCTTCAGCAGCAAATGAAAATGACTGCTTGAATCCGGTTTTGAAAATAGTTGCTGAGTTATAGTTATATTTTAAAATGTTATCTGGTTCCAGCAATGATGGTTACACCTGAAGGGAATTTAGGTATTGGTTGTATTTTGTGAATTCCTTCAAAGAATAGCTTTTCATCAAATTGTGAGCCCATTTTGCACCATTGGTGAGGAGACATAGTAAAAATGATCCTAAAGGAAAAGCTGACCTTGATCTGAATAGACTCAAGGTCATCATATCCCAGCCACTGGTTGTTCTGGAAAACAGCATAAGGGGCCTTGAGCTCATCAATCCAGTGCCTGGTGAAACCTGGGGCCTTGGCAAGGTCACAAATCTGCAAGGAATAAACAAACCAAGTCACTTGCTGAAGCCCCCATTCTCATGCTTACTCAGGGGTGGGTTTCAAACACACCTCATTGAATCCCAAGAAGCCCCTTTCCCTGGTGAAGGGCCCTGCTATTCCAGGCTGGCCAGCAGCAGAGTAGAGCTCATGCTCTTGAGGTCTATCCAAGGTGAAGACCCTGCCATACAATGGGATACCCATCACCAGCTTCTCTTTGGGTGCCCCCAGTTGCAGCCAGTACTCAATTGCATATTTCTGTCAGCAGAGTAGAGCTCATGCTCTTGAGGTCTATCCAAGGTGAAGACCCTGCCATACAATGGGATACCCATCACCAGCTTCTCTTTGGGTGCCCCCAGTTGCAGCCAGTACTCAATTGCATATTTCTGACATCAGAAACCACAACAAAATTTTTTGAAAAATAAAAATCAAATGAATATTTACCATGCATAGCAACACATTTATTGGTTATCCTTGCCATGCTCTGTTAAATCACCTTTCTGAAATAATCTGTTCATTTTTTTTACACTATTGGCCTTGCATTGTTTATAACAGTGTTACCCAACCAGTGGCCAGTGGACTAGTGCCAGGCCACACAAGTTGTTGCTAGTGCATGGGAAATTTCCTCCAGCACAATACATTTATCAAAATTAGCAATTAGGTCTGTTATCTTGTTTTTTTAATTTTCTAAATGGCAATGGTATTATATACAGTATTATCTAATGAGAAATAAAAATTGGCTTTTCTCCTGATAAAATTCAGACAAATTGTCACCTGATAAAATTGATTATATTAGTTTTTCATCCTGAGAAACCTTTCTTGAAATTAAAACCCACCTTTCTAATTTTTAAAGATATTCCGATATGGTTGCTTCAGTAGTTCTCAACTTAATGTTTGCAAAAATGCAAGAACTTTTTGAATACCTGTCATAAAGTCTTTCCAAGAACACTTTTCTAATTTTCAATGAAACTTAGCCAGCCTACAGATTTTTCATTTTAATATTATGTTCTACTGAAGATATTGTGAAATTTGTCCAGTCGTTGGGGGCAAAAAAAGGCCTGGGAACACTTATATCGAATAACAATAATGAGAAGCAAACCAACTCTTGCTGAATCATAGCTTACAGCATTGAAGACATCATTGCCTTCCTCCTGAGCAATCTCTTCAGTCAAATCCAAAGGATGCTGGCCCATGGGGGCATTGTGGTGGACATATGGGTGCCAGGCCCCATGGAAATCATATGACATGATGTTAATCAAGTCCAATAACCTTTCAACAGCAGGGAAAGAGACCATCCATGTCACAAAGCTTCACTCTGGCAGTAGTAAATGCTTTCATCTCACTCAGCAACTCTGGGGACATTGTAAGCACCATCAATGGTCACTTTTCCAGCAGACACTGCAGCAGTGAGTAAATAGTTATGTGGCTGGAAAGCTGCTCTGAGTTCCTCCAGCAGACTGATGAAGTTCTCCTGGAAATCAGTTCAATGGCAATAAAGGAGCACTTTATTGTTTTGATTTTATCTACACTTTGAAATAAAAACATACTTTGTCTTCTGGTGCTCCTTCTCTGAAAGCTGGATACTCCCAGTCCATGTCTAGACCATCAAACTTGTGGTGTTCTAGGAACTTGAGGACACTGTCAACAAAGATGGCTCTGGTCTGTGGACTTCTAGCCATCTGGTGAACAGTGTTACAATTTCAAGTTTATATTGAAATTTGTATACTTTTGTTTTGAGAAATCCACTCACAGTGGAATATTTCTGTGAGCCCTCATTCCAGCCTCCAATGGCAATCAATGCCTTCAACTTCGGATTGTACCTCTTCAGATTGACAAATCTCCTGAATGCACCTGGGGCAAACATTCAAAAAAATTGAATTTTCTTGTGGATGGGTTTTATTTGAAAATGTATCAGTTTACACCAACTCTTTACCATGAACTGCTCAAAGGCTGGATTAGTTTTTCTTTACCTCTCCAAAGATCTGAAATTTCAAAGAGAACAATGAATCGTCTCCAAATCAATGAATGGAATTTCATGAATAAAAGATCAATCATCTGCATTATTGGAGATGGGCAGTTGAAACATTGATAAATCCAGTGAAACTGCCTGAAAGTAGTTTGGATGCAAATCACTCTCTTTCAGAAAGACCCAGAAGAGTTGGAACAATATTTATTTTTTTCTGCCTGAAACATGAAAATAAAACCCCTTCATGGTATTTTGAAACCGCCCATAAAGAGAAAATACTCTATTTGTGAGTTGTAGTACAGAATAACTCTAAATAGGTATCATTATTCACTTTTTTATATATGGAAAAGAATGGGCAGCACTTACCAAGACCCCATTCCTCCACCAGGTCATTGTAAGGGTCCAAAGCAGCAATTTGATTTTCCTTGAGTCCAGCAAACCCATAAATTATGTGTGTGCACAAATAGGGGTCAATGTTCTCCACATCAAACTTGCCCAGTCCAGGTCTGTACTTGGCCCAGGACCCAAAGTAGCACACAAACACCCTGTCCTCTGCCTTCTCAGCAACAGGACCCCCAAGGACAACCCCTGCAACTGCAACAACACCAACAGCACACAGCAAAGCAACAGCTTTCATGATTCCTTTCCTTAAAACACTGAGCCAACTGTTGCCTTGATCCTGGAACTCTGGGTCCTTAAATACACTTGCGTTGTATGAGGGGGGGGGAGATAAAATTCCTGCTTGTATGCTCTTTGTTTGTTGTTTTTATTTGTCCTGGGTGACGCAAAAGGAGATTGATTTGATTGCCTTCTCTTTAAGCTGCTGTCATCTTCTTTCCCATGCCACTCTCATAAGAATTCATCACTGGCATTTTTTTGTATGACAGGTTTTCTCCTGATGGTGTCAAATGCAAAACTTTCAATCAAATGCACCAGTGACATTTATGTAATGTGAGCAATGTACAATCTTAGTTTCTGTGAAAACCACAGATAAAAATTGTCATACCAAAAGTCACTTGTATGACAGGAAAAATCTGCTTGTCACATGGATGATTCAATGAAGACAACTTTTCATGATGTTTGGAACAAAGAAATGTCTTTGTTCCTGGAGTCTTTGTATTCTTTTGGGACTTTGGATGCAGAGGTTTATTAAGGTTTTATCACAGGGAAAAGAGTACCTGGAGCTTCCTGAGATTATTCTTCTGCTGGAGAAATGTTTATCTAGATGATTACAAAATTTTGAAGGGTCTTTATGGGGTGCTCCTGGAAGCTTATGTATGGGGTTTGGAATTTTTTGGAAAATTCCCCCAGTGTAGTGAATGATTACATGAGGTAAGTCATGTTCAGATCAGTTCTGTTAAATTCCATGTTACTTGTAATTTTTAGTTTTCATTTGGTAACAAAGGTAAACACTTTTGAAGGGCATTTATTGGTCTCAAAACTTCAGATGGTGTTTACTCAAATTTTAATTTCATTTTGCCAGTTTCATGCCAGGCTTCTCCTCTCACTGACAAATATTCAAAACTGCTCTTCAGCCTTGCTTTAAAATTTTTTAGAGCAGGTTTCAAAAATCTAGCATAGAAATAACCCTTGGACATTAACGGAACGACATAAAAGTATTCATTTCACATAAACTGAAGTCAGCATACCAGGAGGTAATTATTCAGAATACTGTATTGTATTTGAGAAGCACTGTATCTCTTTTCTACTACATTCTATGAATCATGGAAACAAAAATTAATGAAATATTTTAAATAAAAATGCATTCTATGCTCAGAAAAATTTCCAGCATACACAAATCACCTAAATGTCTGTCTCTAAAAATCTGGGAGATTACAAAAACTCATCCTGGGGTAAAAAAAAATTCGTTTTTGCAAATACTGTACTTTCCCAAGAAGAGTAGCACGTCTAAATTAATAATATCGTACAGAATTTGAAAATAAAAATTATATGTACAGAAAAGAATTGATTTTCAATCACTTTAATTTGATCTTCAAAAGTATTTTACCATGTTTTTACCAGTTTTTATGAACTCACTTTCTTGTCTGTCTGTCTGTTTGTCTGGATCAAATTTTGAAACTCAAATTTCACTCACTTCCCGACTAGCTATCAAGCTGAAACTTTCAGGATAGCCTAGAAACTGATGACAATGCAATCTTTTGTGAAAAAATTAATTTTAAGAATATTTTTTAAAAAGAATAAAATAATTATAGTAGATTTCTATAATAAAACTTTGAGCAGGTTTTCCTTGGCCCCAAGAAAAAAACCCATGGTGAACTGAATTGGTCGCAGAGGTCCGAGTTCAATCCCACCCCCTGGAACATTTTTTTTTCTAATTAATTAACACGTTTTTATTAACTCACTTTCTTGTCTGTTTGTTTGTCCGGATCAAATTTTGAAACTCAAATTTCACTCACTTCCCGACTAGCTATCAAGCTGAAACTTTCAGGATAGCCTAGAAACTGATGACAATGCAATCTTTTGTGAAAAAATTAATTTTAAGAATATTTTTTAAAAAGAATAAAATAATTATAGTAGATTAAAAAATTAATCTAAAAAACCACGTTTTCAAAAAGCAAAAAATAACCTTAAACGTGGTGCACATGGAGATTGTTGGGAAGAAGTGAGATACAAATGAAATAGATGCTCACCACGTTTAAGGTTATTTTTTGCTTTTTGAAAACGTGGTTTTTTAGATTAATTTTTTAATCTACTATAATTATTCTTATATGCATGAAGTTTCATCATCAAGTTTGTGAATGCGAAGTATGACTTTGGTTGGAGTGACATCTACACAGTAAAATCTATAAATGATTAGGCGTGCTTTCACTATTTCAACAAGCAACGGCGCATAAAAAAACTGTGATAATTCAGTTTCAAATTTTCCATTCCCAGCGTCGCAATAATTCAAAGCAACAAAACAAAGTTATCCCCATTCAAACCTTCCAGAAAATTCCATATTGCTTATTTTCATATCTAAACTCTCACTTCCACGTTCGATTTCAAATTATCACAGCGCAGATAAGAATTTTATCGGAACCTAATCCGCAATAAATGATTTTACAAGACACGAATTGTAACCAAAAATCTCGTGCCGCCCAAACTGCTGATAAATGAAAGAAATCTCAGGCTTTCACCACACGCCAATTAAACGTGAAATCCGATGGAAACCGAAGATCCAGTGGAATAATCCGGAAAGCACGCGCGCGTTTCTGGAATATGACTTGCAGCGACATCTGTGTCCTACCATTGAAAACGGCGAAAACCTCACTTCCGTGGAACTTCCTCCGCGTCGCGTCGCTAAGGAACAATTGTTGAACAGTGTGCACCATAATTAAATTACCCCAGGGAGGTGTGGCATACAAAAACATACATGACCCGTCATCATCATCATCATTATCACCCTCATGCTGAGTTGTGGTTCAAAACTTGAATTCTGATAGCTGAACAATTCAATTCCTTTGTCTGGGATCCAATGGACCCATGACAGTGATGTTTTGTTAGATGTCAGTGAATGTTAGGCTATCAGATTTATCTGGAACAGCTCTTGTCTTGAGACTCTGCAGTGAGATACTTAATTCAAATTGCATCAAAAATGGTAATCTTTGATGCAATACCTAAAGTGTCCACTTGAAGACTTTCTGATGCAATTGTCCTCTACTGCAGGATTTTCCGTGCCTTGCACAGATGTCACTTGAATATGGTGAAATTTTGAAAGGGCAGAATCTGTTTGGTAATCATATTTATCCATTGCTGAGTTTATTTCAGATACTCTTTTTCTTGAAAGCATAAATTCAGATTAGATTGAATTCCTTTATTTGTTCAGAAACCCATGATTGACATTCCATAAGAAAATTTTCCAGCAGAAGTGGTTTATTTTTTCAGCTATAGTTAATTGTTTTTTTACGATTAATTCAATCATCTCTGCCTGGCATTTTATGGAATCATTTGAAGCACACAATTTTTGCTAACTTTAGAAATTGTCATGGAACTTTTTTGGGACCAAAATAAATAAAAAATCCGCACCTGTCATTTGGATAACTGTCCAAATCGCACCACTTCCAAATGGCCGCATAACTCCAACGCAAATGAGCATCTTGTTCAGCCTTTTCTTCCATTTCCAGGTTCGTTCAGCTTTTGTCTTCCTCTCAGTTCTTTCATTACATTGAAGAGCCACTGACGCATTCGCTCTCTGAAGTCTGACATGTCGTCTTCTGAGCATTTCTGAAGAAAAGAAACAAAAAAAATCAACTGAAATGAGGCCAGAGTGAATTTGATTAAGAAACCACTCCGGGAAATTGTCTGGAAAATCCCTTCCCAGCACAAGCAGCACATTTATTATTTAAAATGCCTAATTAAATTGGATCCTAAAATTTCAAAAACACTGTGGGATGAATTTTAAAAGAAAAAAGAGGACATCATAAATTTATTTTGAATGAAAAGATGTCGCTCATGATGGGTTTGCTCACAGGGATTTTCTTGCAAGTCCCATAGTATTCCACGTGGACTTGTTTGTATTTGTCAACGTGACAACGCCTGTCGCCATCTGTGCACAAGCACCGCATTTGATAAAGTATGCAATCCGAATCCCATGTCTCATTATGGTTGCTGCACACCTGTGATGAATGAAACAACTTCATCAATAAGGAAATAAATAAGGAGCATAGAATGGTATCAGATTCACATGGCAGACTTTTTATCACAGTTAAATAGACTATTGTTTCGGATAACAGCCTTTCTTGAAAATTGTCACCTTTGACTCAAAATTGATGTGCCAAACACATTTTTATTTTCATGCTTTGATCACAGCTTCACTAACTTTCAAAGGTCTATTTTTGTGACCAAATTCAACAAAAATGTTCACTTTTGGTAAACTTGATGGAAAATGTCCCTGTAACGACGATCCTCTTTCCTTTTCCCGTGCTCCTGAAAGAAAAGAGAGGATCCCAGGGGATCATTCGCCAGCAGCCAAAACGACATCGATCATCAGGATCCTTGTGGGGGCTTGTGGAAATGAGAAAATGGTCCAATAGGCAATTCTGGGTCCACTGAGGATCCTCATTCTTTTCATGGATCCCTTTATAACCAAACCGGAATCTTTTTCTTCATGAATCTCAGCAGGTGAAATTTTTCAAGGGACCCCATGCCTATATGTGGTGGTATTTCTAAAGGACCATTTTACTGCGTTCCAGGGGATCTTTGTCAGATATTTCATTAGCTGGGGATCCTTTTTGCTTTTCAAGGTTTTGCATTTTTTTTTCACTGTATACCAAGCTTACATGAGGTCTTGCTTCAAAAAAAAAAAATAGGTTGATAAACTGAAGCCATTCATAGCAGAGGTTCATTCATGGGGGTTTGACCTGTTTCTCACAGGATCCCTTTGAAAAATGGATCCCCATGACAGAATCCTTTTACACCAGCAAAGGAGGGGAGTTTATGGGAGATCCCCGACATAGATGGATTATTTCAGGAAAATACGCCTTGCATATTAGATGGAAGATGATGGTGATAATCACCTTGGTCCTAGGGGTGCCTTGGATATGATCTCTTTTATGCTAATGTAACCTGGAAATGTCAGATGATGCTTGAGAATCAAGAATTAGCTGATTGGGTTCTTGTACAGAATGAAGCAGGGTGGAAAACTTGGCATGGAGGATCTTCTCTGCTCTG